AGAATATTGACTTAATATCTCAAATACTGACTTAATATCTCAGAATATTGACTTAATATCTCAAAGTAATGACTTTACGTATCTTTTTTTCCGTCACATTGGTGGAAATGGGCTTTTATACATCTTCGTGGAACAAAACAAGATATTTGATGATGTCTGTTTTCTGGACCAAACTAATCCATGAATTGAGAAAATGATCGACAGATTAATCAATGACGACGGTAATCGTTAGCTGCAGCATCACCGGATATATAATAAATGTTTAAGTGTGTGTTCTATGTGTTTGTAACAGTAAAACGTCTGATTGCTGCTGTAATTATTTGTGTTACTGTTTTGGTGTTTTGTCTTCTGTCCAACTCTGTAATTATAATAATGACTCTATGACACTGAGCGCAGTGACCTCCTGCTGTGAACAAAATGGGACGTGGCTAATGGGATTACACAATAAAACAGGAAATAGTCCAGTAAATGTAAATCGCACTGTAGCAACTGTTTTAATCGAAGCGACGGAGAACACTGTCCACCTGGTTTATGTTTCGTGTGTCAACGTCTATCCTCGTAGCCTGTGTGTACTCGTCTCATGCCAAACACTGACTGCCAATAAAAGAACCATGCTGATGTCGGGATTTGTTTTATTTTGAAGGTCTCCAGATTTAAAAGAGTGCATTGCAACATCTTGCTAACATCAGCTAACTTAAGATGTGACTATAAATATATATATATATATATTTAAATGTCTGTTTTATCTTTTAACCATCCTCAAAATGTGGTTGTATTTTCAACATAAATAAGCCTTTCACATAGCATATTGCTAGCTAACTAGCCAGCTAATTTACCATCTTCAAAATTTGGATATCTAATTAACCAGCTACTTTACATCAATCATTAATTTGCTAGTTAGCTAAATCTTTGCTAACATGAACTACAACAGATTTATTTATGCAGATTAGTCTGCAGTCGGGGGCAACAGAAGCACTCAGCTCGGGCTGTTTGGGATTGAGTCCTGTTCTGGTTTCTGAGCCGCCGCCATTTGCCGTTTGTAAAGGCCGGGTGCTCATCACATGAGGCCCTTACCCATGATCCTCTCCTGGCAACTTTTTGTTCCTGCTGCCAGACATGGTAATGTGGCATTTGCAACAGGTGGCTCCTATAAGGTCAGGGCACAGTGTGACTGTCACACCCCCCGAGGTCCAAATACCATGTGACAGGGCAACAGAGCGCCACCCCAGAAAGCACCAGGATCTTATTATCTGACCTTTTCCCTTCAGGAGTGATTTATTCTGCTGGATCGTTGAGTGAAATAAAACTAAATCCATTATTCTTTTAGCGTTTATTGTGCGAATTGAAGTGCTTTGTATTCCCTCACACACTCTCTCTCAGGAAGCCGTCCTCCTGTTTGCATGAGTCACTGTTTGATCTGATTATCTTGCCTCAGCTGCTGCGGCACGAAAATGAAAAATTATTTATGAAAAGCAGCAGAGAGGAGTCACGCAGATTGTTCGGAGCACATTTCGGCACAGAGGGACGGATTCACGGGGCAGACGTCGATAGCAGTGACCTGAGGTTGGAGGCATCGACCGGCCGGCTGAGGGTCGCTCTGGTGCATCCAGAAAAAGCACCCGCCGTTATTGATCGTTTGTTATAGACTGTAAACACCATTTATTTATTTATATGTAATTTTAAATTGTTGTATTTGTGTATTTGTGTACATTTAAAGCACCCTTCTACACTGTAAAAGTTTACTACTGTAAGTACGTACATGGAAATATTAATAAAATTATAAAAATATCCTGTGATGTCTAATGTAAAATAACCTGAACAATCTGTAAATGAAATAATCATAAAATTAGTGCTTATTTAAAGAAACTGTTAAATTCAAGTTAAATACTGTTAATACTTTTCTAAAATTGTGTAAAATTAGTGACATTAAGTTTGTAAAATTTTTCATTGATTTGTTAGTTAATTGACAGATATCTTGTATAATTATAGACCAGTTCCTCTCACAACAAAAACATTCCGATAAATGTTGTTTATCAGTGTATAAGCATTGGTAAACTGTCAAAATACAGTTTTTATTACTGAAAACATCAATAATTACTGAATTTTCACAGATAATTACTTTTATTACAGTTCTTTAACTTTTAAAATTCAGATTATAATAAGATCAAATAAAAACAGCACTCTAAAACTTAAAAAATACTTAAAATGCCAAAAAGAATACACAAGATTTTATGTAAAATTAAAGCTACAAACTAAAATAAATTACAATATAAGAATGGCAGAAGAACGTGTTTTTATAATATTTAAAAAATGGTTTTAGTTAATTTGGGATTTGACACATTTCTTCCTGAGCAGTATTTGAATATTACAAATACAGTTGATGTTGACATTTAGCATATTCAGAGTTTACAGTTTTTTACAGTTCAAACTAACTTTACAAAAACAGCTTAAAGTATTGAGGAATGGACGTCTGCTGCTTCAACCTTCAATCTTTTTTCTTTCGCCAGGTCCGACACAAAGTGCAACACGTGTCTAGAATTAGCTAACATTAGCTATCGTTCTGCTAACATCAGCTAACTTAAAATGTGAATATATATATTATATATATATATATATTATATATGTCTCTTATCTTTTAACCATCTTCAACATTTGGTCTTTTCAACATAGACTACTAATACACCTACTAATTTACATCAATCGTTAGTTAGCTGATGTTTTGCTTACATTAGCTAATTTAAGATGTGACTATATAAATATTGCTTTTATCTTTTAACCGTCTTTAAAATCTGATAACGCTGATTATACGTAACCCTGAGTATTCTACGTCTCAGATATTAACACGAAGGCACTTCTATCACATAAAAAAAGAACGACTGAACATTTTTAGCTTCACAGTAGAAAGACACAAATAAAACAACAACAGTGGGAAGAATTAAAGCTCAAACTATGTACACACTGAACAGAGAGTCACTGTTACAGTTCAGGCTGGTTATCCAGCGCCAACCGCTGGCTCCTGGGTCTCAGTAACCGGCGGCTTTGCCCTGTTTCCTCTCATCGGACGTGGCGCTGATGCAGCTGCCGTCCATCTCCACGGCGTTGACCACGCTGTAGATATCTCCTGCAGGTTTGACTTCGTGTCCCAGAGCTTTCAGACCCTCGATTACATCCTGGGAGGCCAAAAGAAGAGAACAGAGGAGGCTCAGATTGAACAAATATGATGTAGTTTCAGCAAATAAATGTTTGTTTTTTTTGTTACCTGATCAAAATCAGCTTCAAACTCCACTTTATTATCAGAGTGGACAAAAAGAACGGGGGCGGCGATCGCCTCCTCCAGGCTCTTTCCAAACCAGAGGTGGTTAATGAGCGCCTGGAAAAGAAAGCAACAGCTGTTAGTCTGCAGTAACTTAATCCTGTTGGCACTTAGTGTACTGCGGATACGTACAGAGGCGATCCCGGTCGTGATCCTGCCACCACCGGACGCTCCGATCACCAGTGTCTTGGACTGAGACTTCAGCACAGTGGGGGCCATGGAGGAGGGAGGCTGCTCCCCTAAAGACAACAACACAACAGCAGTGACTGACGGGACGCTGAGAGATAAAGTTATTATAAATATATTCAGCGGAGACGATTTGAATGATGGAAGCTGGAGGTGTTTTTACCTTTGTTTGAGAGCTGATAGTTATTGTTAAACTGCAATAAATGTTATTTCTGAGTCAAAGTTTTTGTCTAAAAAGGACAATAATCTTCTTATGTTTCGGAAAAGTAATCTGGTTTCAAGAAAATATATAAAACTTTGTCTTAATAAGATATGACAGCTAATATTGAGCTCGATTTAACCAGTGTGGTTTTAATTTTTTATTTAAAAATGCTAAAATAAAAATGCTTCTAGTACCTTTCTTTGTGCCGTTTGACAAAATATTGTAAGATTACTTTTTATTTTAAATGTAACTTGCTAGCTACCGATTGATGTAGATTGGCTTGCTAGTTAGCTAGTGGTTTGCGCTGTAGCAAACTAGTTAGTTAACCATCGATGTAGATTATCTATCTAGAATGTTTTTTCTGCAGTAAAACAAGAAAGTCTATCTAACTTTGTCTTAATAAGATATTACAGCTAAAATTGAAACAGATTTTTATTTTGCTGTTTGAAGAAATTGTTTCTTATTGTAAGACAGTTTTACTAAAATTAGCTTTCAGATGTAGGTTGCTTGTTAATGATTGATATAGATTACCTCACTAGTTAGCTAGTAGTTTACGCTGTAGAAAAATGCTAACTAACTAGCCAACTAGCTTTCTAAATATTGATGTAGATTAGCTTGCTAGTTATCAAGTGTTTTTTTCTATTAGAACAAGAATACCGTAAAACTTCCAATAAAAGCAGAGTCCCTAATAGACGCTGGTCCCCTATAAAAGCCTGGTGTGGCTACACATTTTGACAAATAAATGCAGGTCTCCAATAGAGGCCTGGTCTGGATTTATAGAAATTATCTCAATGTGTAAAACCTCTTAAAACCCACCAGGCAGGTCGCCTGCTTGAGCGAGTTTTAAGTTGTTTTGATCCTCTACAACAAATATAAACGTTTGTCAATATGTACATAATTGCACATCGTGCAGATAAGTTAGATTCTCCACAATTCAATCTTTAACCTATATTTTGTTCTGTTTTGTTAGGATGCAACCCCGATCTGAGTCACACGTCTTCAGTCTGTACCTCCTTTTTCAGAAATTCCAGACTATTTACTGTTCAATGAACAATCAATACTCTTAAGTATGTGTTTTATTATAAGGTATTATTCAGCATCATGAAAACTTTCCAGAGCACTTTGACTTATTTTAAATTTAATTCTCAGGTTCACTCTTATCCAACGTGACAATCTTTAGAATCTTCATCCCCCAAATTTTTTTAGTGCAAGAGCTCAATTTACTGTTAAAATTTAGGAAACCAAATTATGGAATACCTTTTCATCTGCAAAAAACCCATCTCTATAAAATGTTTCAAAAGATAACTAAAAGCCCATTTAAATGCTGTTTTAAAATTCTAATTCCACACCCACAAACACACTTTTTATATCATGTTTCATATTTTTGTATTCATATTGTTATTTTGTTTGTCATTAAACTTTTGTTGATGTTATACTTTTTTTCTATTATAGTTTGTTATTACTTTATGTATGTTATAATATTCTCTGGTAAATGTTAATTTTCTGTTCCCTATAACTATGAATTTTTGTGGAGGCTTTTCTGCCTCTCCCTGCACTTAATTATTTGGTATCTTTGTTGTTTTTTTAATGTAATTCTAAATCTGGTCCAAAAATAAATAAAGTAAAAAATAAAATAAAAATATTTTACGAAAAACTAAATCAACAACAAGTATAACGTTCGTTTGACTTACCGGTACAAAGTAAACAAGAAGTAGATGGAAAAAAACCTCTGAAGCATCAATAATCATCCATGTTAGTTGTCAATTTGCTGAACAAAACGTCAAGAGAAGCAGCAGTTAGGTTAGTTTATTTTATG